TATATATATATATATATATATATATATATATATATATATATATATATATATATATATAACAATAATCTTGTTGATGCCTATTGTGAGACCTGGCATTTACTTTCCAGAGCGCACACTGCACTAGCAGTTTGCGCTGTGGAAAATAAAACATATTGTAAAATAATTCAGAATAGTTATGCATATCGCTACAGTATCTCAAGGACTTAACTTCCCTATATATAATTCAGAACTGAAATATTTTATAGTTTTCCATTTATAGATAAGACGCATTGAATATGTACATATGAAGCATCTTATTTATCGAGATGTGAAACCGGAAAATTTTTTAATAGGACGACATTCTACTAGGAAGCAACATTTACTTCATATTATCGATTTTGGGCTTGCAAAAGAGTATATTGACTGTGATACTGGTAAGTTCCTGCATAACCGGGGTACGCTGAGAATGGTACAGCGAGCGGTAATTGTGGATTTTTATTATTTAAGTTGCCATAACCATAGTTTCGAGCACTGGCATATTGATTGTGTTCATCCTTTATCAGCACTTTCTCAGTGATTGCAAGTTATGCTTTAACTCTGCCAATAATTTGGCGATCAAGTAAAGGCAAAACTGATGGGCACAAGGACTTCATTTCGAAATTTGCGTAAATTTTGAAGACATTTGAGACAAATGAAACGAAACAGTCAAATCGATTACAGGTAAACACATTGCGTACAGGGAACATAAGTCATTGACAGGCACGGCAAGGTACATGTCAATAAATACACACCTGGGTAAAGAACAGAGTAGAAGGGACGACTTGGAAGCACTTGGGCATATGTTCATGTACTTCCTGCGTGGATCACTACCTTGGCAAGGTCTTAAAGCAGATACGCTCAAGGAGCGATATCAAAAGATTGGTGATACCAAACGAGCAACTCCAATTGAAGTGCTTTGCGAGGGCTTTCCTGGTACGATTTTTTACTGTACCTGCTTAATTGTCAGCGCTGTATTTGTGAACTTGTATCAGTGGCGGTGTTTAAAGAATCAGGATTAGACGTCCTCCATAGTTGTCGGTGTGTGATTTCTTTTGAAGTCATTTTGATGAAATCAAATCAGTTTTTGGTTCTGAATTTTTGATAGCTTGAGATCCACGATCAGGTAAATGAAGCAATATAAATTGTAGTTATAAATGTAGCTGATCCTCGGTAAAAATATTCAGTGTTGTGTATTCAGTATCTTGGTGATCATCATCATTAATATCTGGAATAATTATTTGTATTATATTGAGATGCGATTGCAGAGGAATTTGCTCAGTATTTGCGATATGTTCGTCGATTAGACTTCTTTGAAACGCCGGATTACGAATATTGCTATAATCTGTTCAAGTCCGTGCTCGATAGGCTTGGTTATACATACGATTACGAGTTTGATTGGACACCAAAACTCAATCAAACGGTATGTTTATTGTTTCAAATAACGGCAAACATGTAAAGGCAAGTTTTCAACTCTTAAGTTACACCCTGTAGAATATCGCAAGTAAGTTAGTATCAACAATCCATTTGAGTTCCATCTGTCGAAATTTTAGTGCAAAATTCCGGATCGCGGCATGATTAACTCAAATCAAAAGAATGAAAGTTAACGATGAAAAGAAAGCTTGTTAATCAATATCGTAGACGTATATGATGTTTAGGAATTTCATTCATCCTGGTGTTTAGTAATGCGAAATGGTTTTTGATTTGAATGATCATAATGTTTTAAACGCTTTTCATTGCAGTCAACACCTTCGGATTCCCTTCATGCCGGTGATGCGCACAAAGGAGAGGGGAAACGGACTGGTACTGCAAAAGGACGACAAAGTGAAACCCTCAAACCTACCAATCAAGGCGCTGGACAACAAGGTGGTGGTTTTGGCTCTACTCAGGTAAGTATTTTATGACTACTACTGAATAATCTCTATCTCCGAATTATTTCTTGCTAAAAAAAAGTGCAGTTCGGACTTTTAAAATTTAGTTACGATATCACATAGGTCGAGGGCTACTGTCTGTATTGTCATCGTTGTACTTGAATATGTAATTATGGAGAAAAGTATGTTTTGGAGGTAATCAATTCAAATGTGGGCGAATTGATGGAAGACAACGGTGGTCGGTCGCAACAACCCGTCACACATCTGGAAGATAATAGTGAAGTAAAGTAAGTTGATTGTCCCACATTTATTGACCATGAAATGCTTTCCTGGATCTGATCAACAAAAAGTGATAAAGGGATTTTATCATAGTTGGCAGCAGGGAATAATATCAGTGTAACTTGTTTTTAAAAAATAATTGTTTAGGTGTTGTTGCTTTCGACGACGAAGACGAAAGACTCCACAACAAAAATGATGAGATTTTAGTTATTTGATGGCCTGAAAGGACGCCGAGAAAAACAAGGGAGGATGCGTATTTTGATATTGACTGCGTCATACTTTGAAAGTTTTGGCTTGCCCTATGTCTCTCCTAGTGTCATTTTTTCACCTTAGTTTTTTTTTTGCTCTTACCTATCGTTATCATTTGTGTTTCTGATTTGCTCTCGGGGTTTCTTTCCTCACTGCCTTAGGTCTATTTCGGTTATTTTTCATTCAGCGGCATTGACATTCTTCTAACAAAAGCTAAATATTCCAGAATGTAAGTCGTGTGAGATTTTGTTATACTGAGTACTTTGTATGAAATTCAAGAATGCTTTACACTGGAACGAGGCAATGTTCAATCCATATTATCCGAAGAAGTTGATACAAAACGTTCCTTGTGTATCTGCTCTTTTATTTCTGTACACCATATGTTTTTTGGCTTCAAATTTTAAGGTTTATGTTCACTTCAAAGCTTGTATATTTTAGAAATCTGATTATTTGTTATTTCATTTCACTATAATCACTGTTCGTCCATTATGTTTGCCTGTATTTTTCATTGTCCTGGATTCCATAATCAAATAAGGAAGAAACTCGATTGCACCACGCGTTGTTCTCTAACCTTATGCATTTTCCGTTTCAAACTCTGAAAAGTTTGTAAATGATTCATCTTCGAATGTATTTGTAGTGAATTTAGATACGTTGGACCATAAACAGCAAATAGTGCTCTCATATGGGTCCCTATATTTAATGAATATCCGCTTGATTTTGGATTAAAAAAGAAGTCTAGAAAAAATTGGAAAAGAATTCTACAGTACACTACATAGGCTAGAAACGTGAGAGTGCGTTATGCATATCTCTGACTTTAAATACGGTTTTTTCTTAAAATTACTCTAATGCACTATGTTCCTTGAATGCCACCTGTTCGTAGTAGAAAATTTATAGTGATCAATTCTTCCTTGTTTGCAAGTGTTCGTTTAGGTTACGAACAGTAAAGGTACTTTTGACTGCGTTAGTAATGAATGATAGCACGTGCTGTTGACGTAATTGGAGATTAAAGTTGGAGATAGTAGTCTACCATGTCATCTCTCAATATGTGTAGTTCTAACATTTTGGGAGTTCATTTTGAGGCCACGAACATCGCAGTAAGTGGGGTTTTGACGGCTCCTCATGTTCTGATAATCCCATATACTGGTGGCATTATGCATTGTAAGCAGGGAGAATAATTATAGGTAAGGACTAAGACGTTATTCTTTAATGCTTGAACGATGTTTGAATTTTGTTGTTTGCATAACATACCAGATGTCTCGACTTTTCTAAAGTAACATAGGCATAGCTTCACTGAGGGATATTTCTATCACATAGAAGGATATTTCTAGTGTGTCTCTCCAGATATTTCTATCACATGGGAAAGATATTTCTCTCACGTCTCCCTATTTATGTTAGCCTGGCCTCAAATAAACTAGGAATGACTTTCGCTGGAAATATTCGTTGTACCAATAGTGTGTGGTAGAGGATGGCTCTGTGAAATCAATTCCACAGTGGCTGTTTTCGGAGAGGCAGGAAATAAACTATCGAGGATACAGAGTGGATTCCTGCAAGTAATGAGTGGACTTGAGGTTTCGATTGATTTTTAGTAGCCATGGCTCGAGTGTGAGCAGTAGTTGAGGTAACAGTGAGTCAAACAAAGATTTTGAAGACTTTGTTTTCAAGTCAATAAGCAGATATGTGAAACTGAAGAGAATGGATATTGCGTGGTGGTATCTGCCCTTTTGTCTGGTTTGAGAATGATAATTTCAGGAACGCTTTATGGCTGTGGTGTATTGTCAGCTTGAAGTATTTTCTGTACTTCGCTCTTCAACATTTCCGCTATTTTTCTCAAGTACTACAAGGACTATTACAAGTACTTCGAATACCACCAAAATTGTGAAGGAGAATTTAAATGTTGGTACAATAGGTCACGTGGATCATGGAAAAACCACCTTAACTGCCGCTATCACCAAAATTCTATCTAGTAGAGGTAATTGCTTCTTCAGCTTTTTCAATTTTAGTGGTGGTTTTTTGTTGATTAGTTGGTAGGCTGGTGTTTTTTCGTAATGCTAGATTTCGTTGAATTTTGTATTTTACTGATGAGTTTTCTTTTTATTAATAAAAATTTATCTTTCATCGCTTTGTTTTTGCGAACAGCTTTTACCTTTCATGAGTCCTCTTAACTGTTTTTGAAGAACGAATGTTGTTTAAGAAAATGTCAGTTACTTGAAAGTGTTGTAAGCGAGTCATTTTCAGGGAAAACAAAGTTTGTCAAATTCGAGGAAATTGACAAAGCAAAAGAGGAGCAAAGACGGGGCATAACCATAAATATTGCACATATTGGTTATGAAAGTGATATACGACGGTATGCTCACACCGATTGTCCCGGACATAGCGATTTCATAAAAAATATGATTTGTGGTGCAACACAGATGGATGTAGCCATTTTAGGTGATTTTTAAAAGATTTATGTAAATAGCACCAAACGTCATTAACAATTTAATAAAGACGCTAGGTCGCTAGGTTCCACTTCATTCATATAAGTACGTATGATTCAACATTAATTCAAGTGAATCGAAGTTGGCAAATTGAAGCAATAATACAGATGTCTGACGGATAGATCTTAAAAATGTATCAGAAGGACTATGTAATTCTGATTTTCAGTGATTGCTGCAACCGATGGAGTTATGACACAAACAAAGGAGCATCTTTTACTGGCTAAACAAGTTGGAGTTTCTAGCATAATTGTATTTATAAATAAGGTGGATTTGGTCGATAATGACGTCGTTACACTAGTGGAGATTGAGGCACGAGAATTGTTAGAGCACCATGGTTACAAAGGTCTGTTTCGCATCATTTTTCTTTGTAGCACTACGGATATGAAGTATTAGCACTGCTTATAAACTAAATTTATATAGATTTCGGCTTTTATATTCTATGTTGAGAAGTTAATGAAATTGCAAATCAGTTGTCTCAGAAGACCATTTCATGTCATATGTTTGATTGTAGATGAATCAGTTATTGTGGTGAAAGGGTCGGCACTGCAAGCTTTGCAAAAAAATGATGGAAAATGCGTTGAAGAGTTAATTTCGGCTTTGGATAAGGCTCCTCTTCCGAAGAGGCTGCAAGTTGTTCATTTATACTAATAACAATTAGTTTTAATGAAATTCTATGAAACTATAAGCATATTTAGTGGATTATACAAAATGCTATCATGGGTCGAAAATTTTACTGTCTGGATAGAATGTTTGCAATTTTTTTGTTCTTTTTTGAAATAGTAAAATAACTTCATGTAATTCGCTATTGTCCTTTTATAGAATGCACCGTTTCTGATGCCTATTGCTTCGCGAGTATCAATTACTGGGAGGGGAACTGTTGTCGTTGGAACGATTGAACAAGGAAAAGTGAGGAAAGGTGATAAAGTGGAAATCAAAGGAGAAGGTCAATGCATTCATTCCGTTGTTTCGGATATACAAATTTTTAAAAAAAATGTTCTTGAAGTAAGCAATTGGTATGAATTTTATTATAATATAAAATGAGGCCCACTGATAGAGTCTTTCTTGATTCTGAAAATATTTTCTACAGATTTTTCATGATTCTCATTTTGGAAGGTTACTCTGTCTTGCAATATAAGCACAGACATGATCATATCATAACGAATCCAGCTGTAAAGATTCTCTATTGTTCATTTTTTTTCTTTTCTCAAATTCCTTATAAATTCTTGTAAAACTCATTAAAAACTGCAGTCTAAAAACTTGGTGATTTGTTCAGGTTTGTGCTGGAGATCACTGTGGCATTTTGTGTCGTGGTGTTAAAGCGAATGTAGTGAAAAGAGGTATGTGGCTCGGAGCCGTAGATGCAATCACTACATCAAACTTCTTCAAGGTGTTATATTGCTCGATTGAAAGTTCATTAGTGCTTGCCTGATTAAAGTAGCCTTCAGAATTTTCTAGGAAGAAAATTGTAGTGCCAATTATTTCTTGATTTTTAGGTTGAGTTGTATTTATTATCTGAAAAGGAAGGTGGAAGGTGTTTGGCAGTACATTCTGGTTTTACTGAAAAGGTATTCTGTAGTACATGGGATCAGGTTTGTTCATTCTTTACTTTATAACTCTCGCTCTTATTTTGTTCCGATATTAGTTATTACTCTTCAAACTTCTAAGCACAGCTAAACTGGCTGTTTTATTCAGGCTGGCCGCATACATCTGGAATCTGATATGCTAATGCCTGGCGAACATTGCCCAGCTTACCTTGTTCTGGTTAAAAAAATGCCTGCGATACAATCATTGCCTTTTACAATACGAGAAGGCAGCAGAAAGACGATTGCTCGTGGCATAATTCGAGAAGTTTTTCCTCCAATTAATTTAGATTCCTTCAAGGATATCAAAGATAATGGACTTGAAAAATTTGTCCCACAACAATAATGATACTCCTTGTGGTATTATCACTAAAAGTATCCACAGTTGAGAAAAGTAAATGTGGAATTTGTATGAAATTTGCGTGGTCTTTGAGGATTCGAAAATTTTATCATGTCATGCCAATGTTCCTTGAATTCATGCTATCGAAATGTCAAACAACTCATTTTCGTTCCGATAATCTTTGATAACCATTAGCTCATTTGATGTCATCAATTATCACTTCAATAGTGGTTCAGTATATCTAAGCATCAATAACTTTTCAAGAAGAGGATATGGGTCGTATAGAAAAGAAATAATGTTTTTGGCATATTACTTCTTGTGTCTAGAATTTGGAAAACTAACGAGATGGTTAGTTAACGGCTAATAAGGTTTTGAAAATAAAGTGATCTTATAGTTATTTTTAATATTAGAACTTATGGTACTGTGTAATTTTGTTCGAATTTATGGCAGAATTTATACTTATATGAATGAATATTTATGTAATATTCATATAAATCTTGCGTTTATAGTTTCTTGTCATCTTTAATAAAGTTTTTGAAAAAAAAGATTCTGAAGTGGTTGTTACTACTGTGATGATGATTGTGCAGCACCAGTTATTTTATATGAGGATAAGGTAAAGAAAAGACAACGAAGATTTATTGTGGATATTTTCTAACTCATCCTTTAAAACATAAAGTAGTTGTAGTAGTTGCTGTACTTTTGAAGAAATTGAAATGAAATATCCATTTCAATTTCTAGGTTGACAAATCTAGTTGAAGTTTAGGACTGAAAAATTCCGAGAGCTACTTCCTTCGATTTTAAGCTATAGGCGCTTTCCATCAGGTTGTCGTTATTATGGTTTGTCGTTTTTTCTTTTTTTTTTAATAATTTTCTGTATTTTTTTTTTATTTGGTGCAATGGAAGAGAATTTGGAGGATTGCATTTGGGGCAAGTCCGATTGGGATGCATACACGAAGGAACTGGTTGGAGCAATTAGAATCAATGAAGCAGATCTTTTGGGAAGAATTAATGTTGTGAAAGAGAATGTTGGTCGACGGATTCGGGAAGCTGTAAGTTTTGCGTTCTAACGAAGGGTGTAAATTTCTCTTTCGTTCGAAATGTGTTGGTATATTATGGCTCGAGGGCAGCTATTTTTTCCTCTACTTCATTTCAGTTAGAATTTCACAGGTTGAGCAACATCATCCTCGTTTGGTGGAACAGGCAAGCGCTGTGCAGAATTTGGATCGTGTACAAGCAACTATCAACCGTGAGATGTCTCATCTGTATAAGAAATGTAAAGAACTGGGTGAAAAGTTTCAGTCTGCGTATGAGAAAATATGTCATACAACAAGTAGACTTGAACAGCTATATGCATTAAGGCAGATTTTGGCGTCTGCTGACAGGTACGTATGCACTAGTGATTTCGTCTGCAGAAACATGAGATAAATTCAGCGAATATACCAAGCAATAATTTAAAATTATCCTTTAAGATGCAAACAACTTATTGGGAAACTCGGAAATACGACTGAATTGGTGAAACGCTCAGAGATAATTTGTGAATTAGAAGCAGTCACAACCGAAATACCATTTTTGAAAGACTTGAACAATATGCGTGAAATGGTCTTGGTCTTGGTAACTTAGTGCTACAGTTTCCATATTCCATTAAATTTTTAAATTGAGAAAGAAATTCAATTCATGATTGTTTTCATTTATATTTTGCAAAAAAAGATGTTTCATAGATACCTAAGCTAACTGCCGAAGCCAGAAAAAGCACAACCAGTCATCTAAGATCATCGCTTGAAAGTCTCAGTGCACCACTCGTTTCTTCATGCGCTCGCGCACTGAACAATCTGTCATCATATGAATCTGAGGTAATCCTCTGATCATGCTACATCGACTTAGTAGCTTGGGAATCAGAATTCGTATACATTGTTTTATGTAGAATGCCGAAATCTGTTTTTCTCGATTTGCAGGGCGCGGTTCAGTAATTTTTCCAATGAAATATTACCTGATTTGGATTTTCAGATCAGTCGACTTTTGGAGGAAAATGTCAAAAGCTTAGATAACCAGCTTTTACAGCTTAATAGTAGCACTATAATGGTGACAAAATTTCTTCCTCAGATAGCAAATCAGATTCAGGTGTGCTTTTCTTCGCTGTGTATTATATAAATACTTGCAATTAGGGTGTATTAGTCTGGATATTTTAACTCGATGAAACTCATAGTGAATGAAATTACTAAAAATCAAGTTTGTTAGTCCCGTAATTTTGAAAAATTTTTAAATTAGTTGTTATATTTTTAGACTCTAGATATTTCTGTTTTGCAGATGTCACTAGAACAGTATTCCTTGTTAAGCATGAGAATTACTACAGAATTTTGTGAAAAGCTTGCGAAAGTGATTTCAAGACGTATTTCCGAAAACGCTTCATATGCTACTCGTTTTGTGCAAATTCTTTCCAAAGTTATATCTATATATCCCGCTAATGCTGTACAGCCCTTGGATCAAAGTCTTCGACCTCTACGCAGAGCTATATTGTCTCATTCTCTTAGCAGAATGTTTAAAGCAGTTGATAACGCTTTTGGAGAAAATGATTTAACGAATTTGTCTGTGGAAAAAGTATATTTAATATTTCCAGTTTGCTTTATTATGATTCGGTTGTTTAGATCGCTGATGGAGTTTATCAGTCCGAGTTCTTTTATATTAGAAAGGTTTATTTAAGATTGACTCTGCAATTAAAGAGGAGTTGGAAGGCGTGGAATGGGATGCACAGCTGAGTAGAGAAATGGAGGTGAATGTGGCAAAAGTGCTCCAATTAGTTGCACAAAAGATTGAACAACACCTTGTCTTAGATTCACCGACGCTTCAAATGAGTGAACGTCTTAGCACTGCGCAGGTAAAAATGACTAACGAATTGTCTATGGAATAACTTATTTGTCGGTGCAAACATATCTTGCAATTTGTGCGACACTGTTAACAGAAATATCTCAGCAAATTTCTTTAAAGAAACTTGTTTCTGAATATGTTCATACACAGAGTGAAAAAATATAGTGAATGGTGATTTGGAAGCATTTACGCAGTCATGAAGTGTTGCAATAGCCTTAATATCTTGAGACTAATCTTTGGTCTCGGGTAATCATGAATGTAATGGGATCCATCTTCTACAATTACAAATTCTTTTTTTGTGATCTGGAAGTGAAAGCGAGAAGAACGCTAATTTTACAATTGATTTTTAGGTACAAAATTATGCTTTAGTCTCTGTGGCACACATATTAAGTTTATCCTGGCCGGAGCACAATGAACCTTTAATACGAATCTCGCAGCAAATTCGAGAAGCACTAATGGATGTGGCACGTTCATCTGTTTTCACAATTTTGTTATCAATGCATTACGAGAAGTTAGGTGACCCATCTCCATATGTAAAGGAACTTTGCAACTATTTTCGCATTTTGCAGTCCCACTCATCTTTTTTGAAGTTTGCTGGTTTTGAAGAAGTTTTCAGTTCGTTCTTGGATTATGTGATTGAGTTATTTTTGATGAATTCATCGCTTTTGCGACCTCTTTCTTTAGATCAACTCTCACATTTGTCTTTTGATTTACAGTATATTGCCACTCATGGTCTTTCGTTATACAGTGTACAGTCTTCTCTCATGCCTGTTGTACCCCGATTTGTTGACGCTTTCAAGCTGTCCCCAGAACAGTTAGTGCAATCGGAATCATTGCCCTTTTGGTTTGTTGTACAGTTATTGATAAGTATGAGTGAGGGGACGCTGTTGTCGCCACATATATCGGCTAATTGGTCACTGGAAGAATATTTAAAATGGTGCTTAGATCACAGCGCAGCAGATCGTTTAAATTTTTTGTCATCTCTTATGCGTTCCTATACTTCATCTGTTATCTCATCTAGGCGTACTGAGTATGTTACTAACTATCCTTTAATCATGAACGTTTTACAAAAGATTGCTTGCTCCATGAGCTGATCTTATTGGTTTTGAATATTGTAAAATAATTGTGGTGAACCGTCTGTCTCATGTCCCACTGCTGAACTTTTATGGATGAATAAACCTATCACTAACGTATAAACCATTCATCATTTGGTGCATAGTTTAGGTTAATATATGTCAACAACTACTTCAACAACACTTTTTATTTTCAGCGAATGATACATTTCGATTATTTAAATTCTTTTGTTGAGTTGTAGTAGACTATGTCGGTTAAATGTTTTTATTGATTCCAGTAATATTTTAACAAGAGTTTCAAGTTTATAACGTTCATGTCAACAGTCTTGGGAACCAGTCATATTAACCAAAAGATAACCCACAGACTCAAAATTAAATTTAATTTCAGTAACACTTGTTGATCAGGAAGGAAAGCAAGATTTCGGTCCGCAAAAACCCGTGTTAGCATGCGAGAGATCCCTAAAGACGGTATTATTTTAACGAATTATTTATTGTTTAAAAAAAAAGATATAGCTGATATATCACATAACGGTATTATTTGATGTATTTCTTCTAATGTAGATTTAAGAATCCAGATAAAATGTATGCTCGGATCTTTCAGATAAACAAGGTGATAAAACCATAGAACAGGATGAAGAGTGGGAATCGAAAACCGTGATAATGGAGATTGATGGCATAATGGATGTGAACACAGCACGACAGGCTTTGAATAGAAATGACAGTGCTATACGTCGATGCAACATGGAGAATCCTATACTGCAAATCTCAAATTCTCTCTTCACAGCTGAATGGAATTCCATTATAGGCACTGACATGATTTTCAAATTAGAAGAGAAGCAGCTTCGTTTTGTTGAGTGTTCGGATGTTAGATTGAAAGCTGAAAAAGCTCTGGTCATTGATAATGATGACAAGTAATAAACTATGTTCCATATAACTGTTGGTGTGTCTGCTTCAACGGGTTTCTTTACACCTCTATTTCAAATTAGAAAATTTCTATTTTACTTCGATATTATCCAAAATTGAAATATCATTATCGAAGAATGAAATGGTCTAAAAATCAATTCCCTTGTTGGGATACCTCTTTGTCCACCGACCAGATGTTCTCCAAAAGAGATGGTAAAATTATTCTCACATTGAATTTTTTTAAAGCTTTAGTTTTCAGGGTTGGTTATACAATTTAGCTAATTTTGGATAATTACATTAGCTAACTGTTTCAAATTATGCTGTTATGGTGTTTTGTGTCTGTGCGATTCTTCGAAGTGAACAGGAACAATTTATAGCTCAAGAAGTTTTTTTCCTTCTTTCTAAAGTTTCTAAATATTTTGCTGCAATGTGAATGTGGCAACATACGACTGTGGCGGAAAATATTTTTCAGGCGATTGAGAAATTCCACTCTCTGTTATACCTATCGGTCGCTACAAATGAGTTTACGAAAATAACCAAACGATGCAGCGACGACGGCTTTTCATTGTGCCTCTTTCGGAAGAGAGCTTATGTCATTGGCCTGTGTCCGACGTACGATCGATTCGCTTTTGATGAACGCGCGACAGTAGGTGATCTATCAGTGCTGGTGACTGGTTTAGTTGACGCAGTCAAAATTATGATTTTCTTCAAAGTTAGTATCTATTCTATTAGGAAATGTTGAGGTAGTACCATGCAGAAATTACAGGCATTCACTTTCGGTTTTACTACCAGTTTTTTCATCGTCTATACAAGACCAAAAGTGGCTTACCTTTTCAAAGTTCAGGGTATATTAACGCACATCTGGGTACATTAGGCGCTCTCTGCGTCTTTGACATCCTTATACCCCTGGTGTATCTACAAGGTTCTTCTGATTGCATCATATATACTATGATGATAACATTTTTATTGGCTTGCGAGAATCATGCGATTATGAGGGCGGAATATTTACCAATGTAAAAACATTAAACTGTTATTTAAATACTATAGTATTACAGTGTTTACTGCAGGTGATTTATTAAAAGGCAGTGTGGGAAATTTTCGCAGCGGTCTTATATATATATATATATATATATATATA